TAAACAATTATGTCTTCTTATATAAGATTAAATAAACACAATAAATACTTGTTTTATTACGGGAAAAAAAAAAAAAAACAATAAATATAACAAAACTACTTGATACTAATAGAATTGAATCATATCAAATTATTATAATGTTATAAATATAAAAAACATTGAAAAAAGTAACAACTACAACAAAAGGAAAACTGTCATTACTATGGAAAGCCTGGGTATTGAAAAAGAGAATGTTTTAATAAGAAAAAAGAAAAGATTAATAATATTAAAGAAACTAATACACATATATTTATACAGCCATCACTAGATTACAACAATAATTTAAAATTGATGAATATTGAGGATAATAAGGAACAACTACTTCATATTAATAGAAAATTAATGGAAAGCCTGTTTGGATTCTACTTGACTCTGAAGCTTTCTGAAATTTTATGGATAAGAGATTTGTTAAATGCTATTAACTTACCACCCAAGAGAATAAACTTGTTACTATTGAGCTTGTGAATGGGTGCAAACAGAAAACAAACAAGATTGTTACCATTAAGAATCTGAGAATAAAAATCTATTACATAATAGAATTATCTGCTCAAGTTATTAAACTGCAATAATATGATGCTATTTTAAAAAAACTTTGATTATATCATACCAATCCATTCATTGATTGAAGAAGCAATAAGCTTAAGGATCTGAACAATTCTATTTAGAATCAAATTTAAATGATTCAATTTGATTCAATTTGATTTTTTTATTTAAAAAATTAAATTTAAACAATAAAATTTCAATTCAATTCAATTTGATTTGATTTTTAAATTAAAAAAATTAAATTTAAATGATTTGATTTTGATTCGATTTGATTTAATTCTAATTTAAAATAAAATTGTTAAAAACTCGATTCAAATCAGATTTAATCAATTTATGATTTTCATATTGTTATACTTGATTTTTGCTTAACATTTTATCTACTCTTGTGACAATCCACTAACATTTAGCCCTGAAATATCTTCTTCTTGTTCTAAAATTTCTGTATTATTAATCTACTATAATACTTTCATCTACTTTGCCTACTTAGCTATCTTTTCCTATTCTAGAATATTCTTTAATTTTATTTACTATTATCACTTTGTTATCTTTGCCAGAATATTCATCTCTATCAATATTAATATATTTGACTATTTTGATAAAGATATTATTTCTTCTATAACTATTATCTTTACCAACATATACTATTATTATTTTTTTTTTTTTTCCCGTAATAAAACAAGTATTTATTGTGTTTATTTAATCTTATATAAGAAGACATAATTGTTTA